ATTACAGGCACGCACCACCATGCCCAGCTCAATGCCTCTCTTTTTGTGTATAATTCCTTTCCTCCCTCAGCAGGTCAAGCACTTCTCCAGACATCCCATGTTGAAATTTGACCATAGTTATTGTTCTAATTGCTGGGACGGGAGGGGGTAGATCCTGAGAAGGGCAGGCATTGTCCCAGACAATGCCTCATTTGAGTTACTTTTATGATCTTCAATCTGGGAGGGACTGCTGTCCCCTAAAAGGAGGATTGCAGCACTTCTGCACATCCAGAATTTTCTGGAGGATCTTGGGGTTCAAGGGTCCCAAATACATCTACTCAGTAATCTCTCTTCCAAGTTCTAGGGCCCCACTCTTTATTGGGACCATGATTTTGGTGTAGGAGACACACTGGAACTGAGAATTCAACCTTCTCTGAATTTTAACTTCTCCTATGATTTGCTCCTGAGCCTGGTGATATGGTTTGTATCTGTGTCTCCACCCAAATCTCATGTTCAATTGTTATCCCCAATGTTGGAAATGGGGCCTGGTGGCAGGGGACTAGATTGTGGAGTTGAATTTCTCATGAATGGTTTAGTACCATCCCCTTGGAACTGCTCTCAAAATAGTGAGTGAATTCTCTCAAGATCTGGTCGTTTAAAAGTGTGGCATCTCACATTTACACACAAACATAAACTATACATAGCAACATTTGCAGTCTGAGAGAAATATAAATAACAGTAGAGATGCAATGTTAAAATTAACTGTAGTATATACTGTATTACTGTAACAGTTTTGTAGCCACCTGTTGTTGCTACTGTTGTGAGCCCAAGTGTTGTGGGCATCTGTTTAGAACTTTGTGGGACACTAATCATCTCTACATGAGTAGTTTGTCTCTCCAGTAAATTGCATATCACAATAAAAAGTGATCTCTTGCAATTTTCATGTGTTTTTCATTGTGTTCAATCCATATCATAAATCTTGAATAACACCATAGGGCCTAAGGTGGGACAAACCTTGAATAACGCCATGGGATGAAGTGCCATTGGTAATACTGGAAGTGTTCCTAAGAAGTAGATAAAAATCATGACATTACAAGAAAAAAGTTGAATTACTTGATATGTACCATAGATTGAGGTTTGCAGCTGTGGTTGCCCACCATTTCAAGATAAATGAATCCAGTGTAAGGAGTATTATAAAAAAGAAAAGGAAATTAATGAGGTTGTTGCTGCAGCTGTGCCAGTAGGTATGAAAACCTTGAACTTCTTGAAAAATACCTTTTTATATTGTATTGAAAATGCAGCTTTTGGCCGGGAGTGGTGGCTCACATCTGTAATCCCAGAACATTGGGAGACTGAGGTGGGTGGATCACTTGAGGTCAGGAGTTTGATACCACCTGGCCAACATGCCAAAACACTGTCTTGACTAAAAATATAAAAATTAGCTAGGCATAATGGTGTATGCCTGTAATCCCAGCTAGTCAGGAGGCTGAGGTTAAACTTGGGAGGCAGAGGTTGCAGTGAGCCAAGATCTCACCACTGCACTCCAGCCTGGGTGAGAGAGTGAGACTCTGTCTCAAAAAAAAAAAAAAAAAAAAAAAGAAAAAAGAAAAGAAAAGAAAAGAAAATGCAGCTTTTATGTGGATACAGTATTACTATAAGAAAGTTATGCCTACAGACTCTGCTATAATTTACGAAAAAGCAAAGTCATTATATGACAAATCAAAAAGAAGGTGAAGGATCTAACACTGGAGAATTTAATGCCAGCAAGGGATGGTTTGATAATTTTAGTAAGATACTCGGCTTAAAAAATGTCAAGATAGGCCAGGCACAGTGGCTCATGCCTGTAATCCCAGCATTTTGGGAGGCTAAGGTAAGCAGATCATTTGAGGTCAGGAGTTTGAGGCCAGCCTGGCCAATATGGTGAAACCCTGTCTCTACTACAAATACAAAAATTAGCCAGGCCTGGTTGTGTGTGCCTGTAATCCCAGCTACTTGGGAGGCTGAGACAGGAGAACTGCTTGAACTCAGAAGGTGGAAGTTGCAGTGAGCTGAGATCGCACCACTGCACTCCAGCTTGGGCAACAGAGCAAGACTCCATCTCAAAAAACAAAACAAAAAAAAAGTCAAGATAACAGGAGGAGCAGCTTCTGCTGACCAAGAGGCAGCAGACAAGTTTCTAGATGTCATTAAGACAATCACTGAGGAGAAAAGATATCTGTCTGAACAGGTTTTTTTTTTTTTTTTTTTTTTTTTTTTTTTTTTTTTTTTTTTTTTTGAGACGGAGTTTCGCTCTTGTTACCCAGGCTGGAGTGCAATGGCACGATCTCGGCTCACCGCAACCTCCGTCTCCTGGGTTCAGGCAATTCTCCTGCCTCAGCGTCCTGAGTAGCTGGGATTACAGGCACGCGCCACCATTCCCAGCTAATTTTTTGTATTTTTAGTAGAGACGGGGTTTCACCATGTTGACCAGGATGGTCTCGATCTCTTGACCTCGTGATCCACCCGCCTCGGCCTCCCAAAGTGCTGGGATTACAGGCTTGAGCCACCGCGCCCGGCATGAACAGGTTTTTAAATGTAGATTAAAGTGCCCTATTTTGAAAAAGAATGCCGGAAAGGCATTTGTTAGTAAGGAAGAGAAGCAAGCACCAAGATTTAAAGCAGGAAGGGACAGGCTAACTCTACTGTTTTGTGCAAATACAGTTGGTTTTATGATAAGAACTGCCCTTATCTATAAAACTGCTACCCCTGAGCCTTGAATAGAAAAGATAAACACCAGCTGCCAGTCTTCCGGTTGTACAACTAGAAGGCTTGGACAACAAGAATGCTTTTTCTGGATGGGTTCCATAGATGTTTTGTCCCTGAAGTCAGGAAGTACCTTGCCAGTAAGGGACTGCCTTTTAAAGTTCTCTTGATATTGAATGATGCCCCTGGCCATCCAGATCCCTATGAGTTCAAAAAGCCTTGAATTGATCTTCTTGTTCTCAAACACGATGTCTCTAATCTAGCCTCAAGATCGGGTAGCCGTAAGGACCTGTAAGGCTCATTACACGTGGTACACTATGGAAAGGATTGTCAATGCTGTCTAAGAGAACTCTGATAGAGAGAATATCATGAAAATCTGGAAGGATTACATCATTGAAGAAGCTATGAAAACCAAGCTCAATACAATAAATTCCTGCTGGAGAAAACTGTGTCCAGGTGTGCATGGCTTCGCAGGATTTATAACAGAGCCAATCAAGGAAATCATGAAAGAGATTGTGGAGGTGGGACAAAAAAGGCGGTTGTGCAGGGGAGAAGGCTTTCAAGATATGGATATTGGAGAAATTCAAGAACTAATCGACACCACACCAGAAGAATTAACAGAAGACAACCTGATAGAGATGAGTGCTTCTGAACCTGTGCCAGACAATGAAGATGTAGAAGCAGTGCGAGAAAACAAATTGACATTAGGCAATTTAGCAGAAGCATTCTGATGATTCAAGATTGCTTTTAGCTTCTTTTATGACATGGGCCGTTCTATGATGCATGCACTGAAACTAAAGCAAACTGTGGAAGAATAATTGGTACTATATAGGCACATTTTTAGGGAAATTAAATAGCAAAAAGCATCAAAAAATATCATATATTGAATTTCCATAAAGTTACACTAAGTATGCCTGTGTTTCCTGACTCCCCTTCCGCCTCTCCCACCTTAGCCACCCCGAGACAGCAAGACCAACCTCTCCTCTTCAGCCTACTCAACCTGAAGATGAGGACAGACTTTTATGATGATCCATTTAATCAGTAGCAAATATATTTCTATCATGATTTTCTTCATAACATTTCCTTTTCTCCAGCTTACTTTATTGTAAGAATACAGTATATATTATCAATGAAATATATATATATATACTTTTGAAGACTACATAGACCTTTTATCAGCTTCATGGCCCAGAAATGCTTTTCTCAAGTAACTCAGAGCCATTTCTTTAAAATGTAAACATCAAGTGAGGTAGCACCCCTACCTCCCAGTTTTTGTGGAAATGTAGAAACCTAACTTTGGTGGGCACCTTGCTCCAAATTGCAAAGCTTTTTCCTGTTATAAAGACACAATAATTTTTTTCCTCTATATAAAGCCAATTAAATAGCATAGACAGTCGCCTCAATTACGAGGTAAAGTTTGGGTGAAATATATGTGACAAACAATGCTGCCAAGTCTTCTTAGTTGAAGACTAGTCATTATTTATTTACTTGTAAACATGTAATTAATGGATTGTATCTGCTTGGCTACATTACGGGGTGAAATTCCTTTCTGTTTTTGTAATCTCATAGTGAGTTACTTTGGATGTGCATCATGTTCTGGTTTAATGCTGATTCAAAAATAAAACATTCTTTCTCTACTACCATTGTGGAGAGGAATTCTGGGTTAGGAGAAGATTTTGTTTTCAATTATATTTCCCCAACAATTTTGCTGATGAGAACATGGAAATATCTGGTAGCTCTTGACATGAGCAGCAACTGACAGTCTGTGACCATAAAACAATCAGGTAGGAGACCCTGAATTATAAAAAGTCTTTCCTCTAGCAGTCCCTTTTTTGAGACTACTACCTAGACAATCCAACCTGTCCAAATTCATTATGTTACTATTAAATAAACATGGGTAATGTAGACTCTAAAATTCAGTCAGGGTCATCATATGGTTGGAAAATATGGGAAGACAGGAACGTTGCCTTCAAGTTTCTCAAATAGTTAATATCTCTCTGTCACATTGGGATGGTTATGCACATGAGAATCCAGCCCTGTAGTGGTGGGAGGATGGTTCTTTTGATTTGGATAGATTAACACATTCTTGGAGGGGTTTCATCCTGAATGAATGAGTTGCTGGTATTTATGGGATAAATATTGTTCTAAAAGGAGAGTTAAAAATGATTTAGGGCTGGTCAAAGTACAGTGGTGTTTACAACTAATTGATCACAACCAGTTATAGATTTCTTTGTTTCTTCTCCACTCCCATTGTCTTACTTGACTAGCCTTAAAAAAGATTCAGATAGCCAGATGAAAAGGAAAAAGAAGGGAAATGCAAAAATCAAAGGTACTTTCTTTTTCATGGAAACCTTCTCCTCCTTTCTCTGCTGTCCCTGCTCCCTCTGCTTCCCCTGCATGTCCTCATCCTTCCTTGCTTCTAACTGACTGTAGTGGCTCCAAGGAAAGGGGGAGGTGAGGATCTTTTAGAGAGGTGGCTCCCTTTAATAATAGGTTTCCCTGTAAAGGGAGATGAAGGTATGACTTTCTACAACAACCTGCTCTATTTGAGGATACAAGCTTGTGTGTCTGGTGGCCTAGCCCTGAGTCTACTTTATGTTTTAGACCAGATTCCACCTCCAGGAGGTCTTATCATCTACGCACCACACAACACACAACTAGAAAGACAGAAATAATGGACAGGGTCATGAGATGACTGAGAACTTGTATAAAAGACTGTGCTATGGTTTGAATGTGTCCTCCAAATTTCATGTGTTGGAAACTTAATCTCCAAATTCATATGTTGATGGTATTTGGAGGTGGGGCCTTTGGGAAGTGATTAAAATTAGATAACTTCATCAGGGTGGGACCACCATGATGGGACTGGTGGCTTTCTAAGAAGAGGAAGAGAGACCTGAGCTGACATGCTCTTACTCTCTTGCCGTGTGATACCTTCCAGCATGTTATGACACAGCAGGAAGGCCCTCATCAGATGCTGGCACCTTGATATTGGACTTCCCAGTCTCCAGAATCATGAGGTAAATAAACTTCTGTTCTTCACAGATTACTCATCTGTGGTATTCAATTATAGCAACAAAAAAGTAGGCTAAGACAGACTGTTTTCCATATGAAGGCAATAGAATGGAGAGTAGCTGCACTTTTCACTTGGAAAAAGACAGACAACCAAGGTATTAAACTTATGAATGTCATCACTGGAACTGAAGAGTAATTTACATTTTTATTGTCTCAATGTGAGGAAAACCAGATCTTCCTATTTGGATAGCCAACAAAGCTGAGAAGCTACCCAGGACTCTTGGGTGGTTCAGATCCTTTTCTCACTCATTTAAACGCTTCTCTTCCCTTTGCCCCAGAAATTTGCAGTACTACCATACAGCATGTTTTCAGTTTAAAGCCCCATGTGTGGAGATGTGCACTGGCTACTGCATGGAATTTTGTATCCTGAAGACTTTGATCATTTGATGGAGCGAGGATGTTGGTGTTCAGAAGATTATTTCGGGGTATGGTGGCCAAGAGAAGCTGACTATCCACCATCCCCCCCAAATATGGATAATCTGAATATAGAGGTTACTTGAATCCTTTCTTGTAAAGAGGAACTGGAAGACATTGCAGCTGTTTACTCGTAAGACAGATGAGTCTCTCACTGATTTCCATCAGTGATTTGTTCAGATAGTCTAAAATATTTATTGGCATGAATCCAAGGTCATATAAAAATTGTCCTCTAATCACCTTTATTTTAGCTCTTTTACTGACTATCCAAACCCAAGTTAAAGAAAAGGTGTGATGGCAGAAGCAAACTATTACTCAAATCTTAGCAGCAGCTACTCAGTTTTGGGATAATCTAAGAACAAAAAAGAAAAGAAGAGATTAAAATGTGCTGTGTTCTCTGCTTATTTAGAACTTTTTACTGAAGGTAAAATGACCAATCCAGAAAGGGAAGAAAGAAAGATGGAAGGCTGTATGTTGTTACTGCAAGAAGCGAGGGCTCTGGAAAAGGAACTGCCGAAGGACACTCTGGATGATGCAGCAACTACAAAGGTAAGAGAATTAGGAGAGCCTAGAACAAAACTTTCAGCTAGGAAATACTTGCCAAATGATTCAAAATTGATAAATTGAGGGAATCCCAAAGGTGGGAACTAGTGGACTGTATTGTGTCAATAAATTTTCCCATCTGGTGACAGTTAATACAGGTTATGAATATTTTGGGTCAGCCTTCTCCTTGTCCCCTTTCCTCTGTAATTTCCATAGAGATAGGTCCTTTGACTGAGAAACATGTGTTCTTCATTTCTCCTGAATCACCTATAAACATACTGGTGAGAAACCTGCTGTGCAACTTAATAGATACCATATTGTGTACTCTGGGTGAAGTGTCTGTGGAGCTTTTTGGGAAAAGGCACCTGATTTGGACACTATATACTTCTGAAAGAAAAGAGGTATGGCAGAGGGTGGCCATATCTTTGGATTAGGCAAAGATTCTTAGATACAACACCAAAAGCAGGACCCATATGGAAAAAAATAAACAAATTGAACTTCATAAAAAATGAAAAAAAATTGCATTTCAAAATATTCCATTAAGGAAATGAGAAGACAAGCCACAGACTGGGAGAAATATTGGCAAATCATATTTCTGGTAAAGGAATTGTATCCAGAATACATTAAGAACTCTTACAACTCAATCATAATAATGATAATAATCAGACAACTGAATTTAAAAGTAAGTAGAAGACTTGAAGGAGCATTTAATCAAAGGGAATGACAATATTGCATTAATTTGAAATACAAAAAATAGCTTACCAGCTTTCCGCCATCTTTCCGTGCCGCCACAATGGTGCGCATGAATGTCCTGGCTGATGCTGTTAAGAGCACCAACAATGCCGAAAAGAGAGGCAAACGCCAGGTGCTTATTAGGCCGTGTTCCAAAGTCATCGTCCGGTTGCTCACAGTGATGATGAAGCATGGTTACATTGGCGAATTTGAAGTCATTGACAATCACAGAGCTGGGAAAATTGTTGTGAACCTCACAGGCAGGCTAATCAAGTGTGGTGTGATCAGCCCCAGATTTGATGTGCAACTCAAAGATCTAGAAAAATGGCAGAATAACCTGCTTCCGTCCCGCCAGTTTGGTTTCATTGTATTGACAACCTCAGCTGGCATCATGGACCATGAAGAAGCAAGATGAAAACACACAGGAGGGAAAATCCTGGAATTCTTTCTCTAGGGATGTAATACATATATTTACAAATAAAATGCCTCATGGACAAATATATATATCCTACCAAAAAGATGAGCCACGACCATGTGTAAACAATATCGTTTGTTGAGAGCTCAATTAAACATAATAAAACCAGTTATAAAAAATTAGAAAAACATGTAATCCCCATGCTTTGGAAGGCCGAGTTAGGAGGATCAGTTGGGATTCGGTGTTTGAGACCAGTCTGGGCAACATAGTGAGACTTCATCCCTACAAAAAATTAAAAAAAATTAACCGGGCATGATGGCACGTGCCTGTGATCCTAGCTACTTGGGAAGGAGGCTGAGGTGGGAGGATCACCTGAACCTTGCAGTTTGAGGTTACAGTGAGCCATTGTTATCCCACTGCACTCAAGCCTGGGTAACAGAGTGAGACACCCTGTCTCTAAAAAAAAATAAAACAAAGGATAATTTATTTATTTATTCTTTAATGTGTAATGTGTTTAACTAATTTATTTATTATTATTGGATATTTTGGGTCAGCCTTCTACTTGTCCCCTTTCCTCTGTAATTCCCATAGAGATAGGTCCTTTGACTGAGAAACATGTGTTTATTAACTAATTTAATAATTTTTAACTAATTTATTTATACTTTTTTAAACTAATTTATTATACTTTTTAAAACTAATTTATTATACTTTTAGTTGTGGGGTACATGTGCAGATCGTGCAGGTTTGTTACATAGGTAAACATGCGCTGTGGGAGCGATTTGCTGCATCCATCACCCCGTCATCTACATTAGGTATTTCTCCTAATGCTATCCCTCCCAAATCCCCACAACCCGTGCTATTCCTCCCCTAGCCCCCCACTCCCCAGGCCCTGATGTGTGAGTGTGATGCTCCCCTCCCTGTGTCCATGTGTTCTCATTGTTCAACACCCATTTATGAGTGAGAACATGCAGTGTTTGGTTTTCTGTTCTTGTGTCAGTTTGCTGAGGATGATTGTTTCCAGCTTCATCCATGTCCCTGCAAAGGACATGAACTCATCCAAACAAAGCATACTTTAAAAGGGGCACTTACCCTGTAGGATTACATTTCCAGTAAATAATAAAGGTAAATTTGAAAAAGATGGGTAAGCTCTATATAGATCTATACTGATTTTGGAGAAGTAAATTAATTTGTTGTCCCATTAACACCTGTAGTTCCTAATCCTGCAACTATTCTGATTTCAGCATCGTTGTCTGAAAAAAATTTTTCTTGTTCTATATGTTCTGCCCGCCTTGCCTTGCCTTGCCTTCCTTTTCTCCCTCCTTGCCTCCTTTCCTTTCTTCTTTTTTTTCCCTTCCCACTTTTTCTTTCTTTTTTTTCTAAGTGGAAAAGTCTAAGTTCTTATTTGCTCATAAAGGAGTCTGATATTTATGGCAGACAATTCCTCAAGATTTTGAGATTCCCATACTGTTTTCTCCAGTCATTTACAGAAACAGAGAAATTTGTTTCACCAGAAGGATCTATACTTTTTCAAAATATAGATGATTTTGCTGGTAGCCTCAGAAACTAAATAGCAATGCAAAACTAACACTTCAGCTTTGTTACAGTTCTTTACTTCACAAGGGCATAAGGCCTCACTAGACAAATTGCAACATTGCTTCTGTGAGTAAATTATTTAAGGCATTTGTGTTTAGATGTGGCCCTTAGATTAGTACAATCTAGGAGTTATCTCGTTTTGCAGATCTAACAGCTGAATGTAGTGCTATGGTTGGAATGTTTATGTCTCATTCTCTCCCCAATTCAACTGTTGAACTCTAATCTCTAATGTGATGGTATTAGAAATGGGGCCTTTGGAGGTGATTAGAGTGTTGCCCTAATGAATAGGATGAATGCCATTATAAAAGAGAACTCAGAGAACTTCCCGGCTCCTTCCACCATGTGAGGACGCAACAGAAGGCAGCATCTATGAGGAAGTGAATCGTTACCAGACACTGAATTTGCCAGCATCTTGTTCTTGTACTTGCTTTTTCTTTTCTTTTCTTTTTTTTTTTGAGACAGAGTCTCGCTCTGTTGCCCAGGCTGGAGTGCAGTGGTGCAATCTCGGCTCACTGCCAACCTCTGCCTCCCAGGTTCAAGCGATTCTCAGCCTCCCCCAGTAGCTGGGACTACAGGCGCCCCACCTGCCACTATTCCCAGCTAAGTTTTTGTATTTTTAGTAGAGACAGAGTTTCACGGTGTTAGCCAGGATGATCTCGATCTTCTGACCTCGTGATCCGCCCACCTTGGCCTCCCAAAGTGCTGGGATTACAGGCGTGAGCCACCGCGCCCTTCCCGTCTTGTACTTTCTAGCCTCCCAAAATGTCATTAATAAATGCCTGTTGTTTGTAAGCTACCCAGTTTGTGGTATTTTGTTATAACAGCCCGAATGACTAAGACAGACAGTTCTGGTACTAATACAGTATTAAAGAGAGTAGATTCCAGGTTTTGCAGAGTGGGCAAAACCTCTGATGGAGCAACTGCATGATAACCCTTCAGCTCTTCTGGATTGGTCCCTAGAATCTGAAGAGGCTTTTGAACAATGGAAATTGGCGATAGCCTCTCTCTTAGCTTTGAAATGTTCAAACTTTGAAAAATTTGACTTGATTTATTTAATATTCCTGTTCAAAATGATGATATAATAATGTTTATCAATTGGCAGTATAGTATGGCTAAAAGTGGCCCACTTAAAAAGCTTCCTAGCTGCATTGACTTATCACAGAGCCTCAGAAGCTTATGTTTTATCTGCAATGAAGTCTGCATAAGCAGACAAGTTAATACCAGTTACTAGGACTGCAATTCTTAGTTCTGGACTAAAAATAAACATAAAAATATATACATAATAAATATATGTTTGGTGTCTGTCATACAACAGGGAAAAATTTTTAGTAGAGGATTTTTTACTTTAATAACAACTAAAAAAATCACATGGAAAATTGACAGCTGATTTATTAGGGACTTGACTCCTGCTTTCTCAGGTACCAGTAGCTCATTTTGCTGACAGAGCTGTAAAAGCTGCATTTATGTATGTATTTATTTGTTAAAAAGTTTTTTTTGAGATGGAGTTTCACTCTTGTTGCCCTGGCTGGAGTGCAATGGCGCAATCCCGGCTCACCACAACCTCCACCTCCTGGGTTCAGGTGATTCTCCTGCCTCAGCCTCCCGAGTAGCTGGGATTACAGGCATGTGCCAACACGCCTGTCTAATTTTTGCATTTTTAGTAGAGACAGTGTTTCACCATGTTGGCCAGGCTGGTCTCGAACTCCAGACCTCAGGTGATCTGCCTGCCTTGGCCTCCCAAAGTGCTGGGATTATAGGCATGAACCACCGTGCCTGGCTTATTTATTTTTTATTTTTATTTTTTAGATGAAGTTTTGCTGTGTCACCCAGGCTGTAGTGCAATGATGCAATCTCCGCTCACTGCAACCTCTGCCTCCCGGATTCAAGCAATTCTCCTGCCTCAGCCTTCCAAGTAGCTGGGACTACAGGCATGTGGCGTCACATCCAGCTAATTTTTGTATTTTTAGTAGAGACAGGGTTTCACCATGTTGGGCAGGCTGGTCTTGAACTCCTGACCTAAGATGATCTGCCTGCCTTAGTCTCCCAAAGTGCTGGGATTGCCACTGAGCCTGGCTAAAATCTGCTTTTAAAACATGGCTGGCTCCAAACTTAGAAGCTCTATTTTAAAAAAAATTTATTTTATTGCATTTTAGGTTTTGGGGTACATGTGAAGAACATGCAAGATTGTTGCATGGGTACACACGTGACAGTGTGATTTGCTGCCTTCCTCCCCTTCACCTGTATCTGACATTTCTCCCCATGCTATCTCTCCCCAACTCCCCACCCCCTACTGTCCCTCCCCTATTTCCCCCCAACAGACCCCAGTGTGTAGTGCTCCCCTCCCTGTGTCCATGTGTTCTCATTGTTCAACACCCGCCTATGAGTGAGAACATGCAGTGTTTGATCTTCTGCTCTTGTGTCAGTTTGCTGAGAATGATGGTTTCCAGGTTCATCCATGTCCCTACAAAGGACACAAACTCATCATTTTTGATGGCTGCATAATATTCCATGGTGTATATGTGCCACAGTTTCCCTCTCCAGTCTATTATCGATGGGCATTTGGGTTGATTCCAGGCCTTTGCTATTGTAAACAGTGAGAAGCTCCATTTTTAATACAACAAGAAGCTTTTGTCCATTCTTTAAAATGTGCTTCACAAAAATAAATGAGCAAATGAATTGAAAAAGGAGCTAAAAGCAATTTGATTGAACTATGGGAATTACCTAACAGTAATTCCTATACTTCAGCCCCAATTTGCTTGGTTACTGGTGTTGTGTCATTGACAAAATGATCTGAACAAAAGAGGAATTTTAAAGGCATTAGACTCTTACTAGGCCTACCAAAAAGATAAAATTATTCACAACATATTAAAGAGATATGCTATGTAATGTGTCCTATTGATGTGCTATTCTTTACAGGCCACTCCAAATATAAGTACAGGAAGTTCTCTCTAACCAGCTTTACCAGTAACGTGGTGGCAGTTAGATTTCAAAGAACTAATGCTTGTTAAAGGTAAGAGATACTGTCTAATTGTGGTATGCATGGTATTTGGATGTCCTGAAATCTTTCTGTCCTCAACAGCTGATCTTCAATTAAGCCAGATGATCTACTGTACAACATTGTACCTATAGCCAATAATACTATATTGTACACTCAAACATTTGTCAAGAGGGAAGATCTCTTGTTAAATGTTCTTACCACAATCAAATAAAACTTAAAAAGCTCATGTTCAGAACAGAAAAGCAAACACCACATATTCTTACTAATAAGTGGGAGTTGAACAATAACAGGGAGGGGGACATCACACACCGGGGTCTGTCAGCGGTTGGGAGGGACAAGGAGAGGGAGAGCATTAGGACAAATACCTAATGCATGTGGGGCTTAAAACCTAGATGATGGGATGACAGGTGCGGCAAACCACCATGGCACATGTATACCTATGTAACAAGCCTGCACATTCTTCACAAGTATCCCAGTAATTAAATAATAAAATAAAAATAAAAAGCTGATGTTCAGTCAGTGGTAAAGTTTCTCTTAAAACTCACAATTCCCACTTTTGCGATACCAGAGCACACTGACTAGGACAGAGGAAGTCATTTTACTTCTACTGTTGCCCAGGAATTATGCTAAATGTTTGCAGATTCCTATAAGCCTCACTCACAAGTAGAGTAAATGAATCAAACTCTAAAAAACTGC